CAAGGGTCAGCTGCACGTGTGTACAGCGCAAGGGGCAAAGTCTCTTGTTGACTGCTTCCTCAATCCCAGGGCCCAGGATTAACCCATGCCTGATGGTGCAGGGTGTAACTTTCCACGTAGAAACATGTGCCTTAGAGCTGCCGTTTATAAACTGTGCCTTGGTAAGCAAGTTACTTGGAGGGATGGATAGCCTGGTGGGTGAGTGCTCACACTCCAGAGCCAGACTGCCTGGGTTCAGATTCTGGCTCCACCCCTTACCACCTATGGGGCCTTGAGAGAGTTTTCTGCCCTGCCCCCATGCCTTCGTTTACCCAACCGTAAAGTGGGGCCAATACTCCCTCCGTCAAGTGGGAGTCAGAGGATTTCCTGAGCTAACACCTGCAAGGTGTTGAGAACAGCTGGCTGAATCTCCCACAGCAGCACTCTCCTCGGGCCAGGTGCGAAGTGAGGCTTTCTCCTCCCCTGAGGCCACCATCTTTCTAGGTGGCGCCTCACTGCTCAGGTGTCCAGGTGTTTAGGTATACGGGAGGGTGCTGACGTGCTGTGACTCTTTTTCAAGCCCCCGACCTATGCTTAACTCCCAGTGGCTTGAGCCTTGGAAGTATTGGGGAAGCAGGTTTAATGAATCTAATTCTAGTTAAGCAAGGTTTTACTACACGCGGCACCTTACGAACCAAGTTAGATTTTAATCATTACAACTCTGCTTAAAATCACCAAGTCCTCCCCATGGGAAACCAAGACCCATTTCGAGCAGGCATCTATCGATCAGTAGAGATGGGGTTTTCCATTGATTTATTTGTACATTGCTCTTCGTTTAGCTTTATTTCCCGTGAGCTTCATCACTGATGGTGGTATTGTTTCCTCCTTGGCTTCTCGTGCTCTTTCCAATCGTTCCGTTGATATTTTCCTATCAGCACAGAAACCACACTCACCGGATGCCAGACTGGTCTGACAAGAAGAGTGCCCCCGTGTGGGGACAGAGATCGGGGCTGTGCTCGAGAACCTGGGCCTCTTCCATCACCCAAGCCTACACGTCTCTTTTTGGTCTGAGGGGCTGAGCCTGCCCTTTGTGGTTTTAACGGAGGGTGAAAGTGCAAAAACCATCAGGTTGATTTCTCAGTCTGCTGGTAGAGGGACTGTAACATAAAAACCACCCATTGGCTGCCCCAGTGCCGTGGGCAGAATCACCAGCCAGTGCTGGATAAGCAAGTCCCGGGAGACACCAGCTGTGGGGCACCGCACACCATGCGTGTGAGAAGCGGCGCAGTCTGGGGGGCCTCCCTGGTCCTAGCTGGGACCAGGGTTGAACCACTGTCTGCTTCCACCGTCTGTGGTGTCACCACTTGCTCAGCACCTTGGCTTGTGAGCTGGGTTCAACCTTGCAGTCATACTCCTGAGGTCTAATGCCACATTCACTTAGCCTTCTAGAAGGCTGCCACGCAGGGAACACAGCACGCACAGTGTCATCATCACATCGGGAGGACCAGCACCCAGGCACACAGCACCTCTGCCTTGAGACCCACTGGGGGCACGAATGGCCGCTGCACGCCAGAGCCCAGATGCCCATAGGTCACCTTGATGCAGGCGCAGCAAGCTGGGTCTCCCAGCAGGATACCTTGTATCAGAGTCACAAGGACCAGGGTCTGCCTGCCCACCCCCTGTCAGCCCCGCGTGATGGCTCCACCGCAGACAGGCAGGCACGACTTCCCACTTTCAGCCCCGCCCTGTGTGAGTGCCTGGACTCAGATCGTTTCCCCGGGCAGCAGTCTCCCCTGCCAGCGGTGTGGAGGGTGACTTGCCTATTCCTCTGAGGGCCACCTGGGTCCTCCAAAGTGACCTCTGTGTACAACACGGAGCCTGGAATTTAAGGCAGGCGTATGCAGTATTGAATTTTCAAATTTGCTCTTTGCCCAGCTGGTGTGGCAGGACAGCTTAACACACAGGATTTTTTATTTACATGGATAGGTAGAGACTGCTCAGTGATTTCTCTAGCAGGTGACGGATGACAGAGAGATCTCATAAATCACGTGGGCCATGGTGTACTAATTGAAAATGCTCCCAAACCAAAAAACTCTACCCTAGGACAATGCCTGCTGTCCACTGAAAACCTCCCTCGTGCGTCTTCCTCAGATTATCTGATATCCCCCTTTACAATAACTCCACGCAGAGGGGAGTTTTCCCATTTTAAAGATGGGGAAGCTGAGGTGCAGAGGCTAGGTCACTTGTCCAAGGTCATCTGGCTGGTCCATGGCGGAGCCAGGACTGAACCCAGGTCTGTCCAACCCCAGAGTCTGTGCCCTTCACCAGGGATGTTATGTCCCAGCCTCGCTCTTCGCAGTGTGGTCCCTGGACCTGCAGCACCCACAGCGTCACCAGGGAGCCTGTTAAACTGCAGCATCGAGCTCCACCCAGGACTGAGTCAGAATCTGCATTTAGCAAAACTCTAGGCGATCTGCGTGCACAAAACCTGAGGAGTGCTGGGGCCACAGCATTACTATTCATTGGTGTTACCAAATCTTTCTCATGCAGGCTTGAACCAAGTCCCCTCCATGGGCCATATATTCTCTGAAAATGTTAGAATATGTTAAAAAAAATTGAGTCTAACAGTCTAGCAGAACATCTCAGTGGTTTGACGATTCTGAAACACTGCTGCCAAAAAAGCACTTAGAGAGGCTCGAGCAAAGCCATAAAACACGGTGATAAGGACGCATTTTGACTCTGAGACGTGAGAACCTGAGGATGCTCTGAAATATAGTGAGTCAAGATTAATTCTGGGCTCCACTTAGAGAAAGCTTTCGGGCCAAGTGGCTTGGACATAAAAGCACTCGCCCTAATGTGCCAGGTGAGAGGAGGGACAACCCCATCGCTTGGTGCCAAGTGTATTTACAGGCTTGTCCCCAGGAGTGCTAGGGAAGTGTTGCCAGCAGTACTGACACTTGGCCAGCTGTGGGCTCTGTCTGGGAGTTTGTTAAAATATATCCCACGTGATCCACAATTACGCTCAATTATGGTGAGTCTATCAGGGACTTCTTTTGGTGGGGGAACCTTGGAAAACAGGAAGAGCTCAAAGGCTACGCCACTCAAACCACCGTGCACACAAGTCACCCAGGGTCTTGTCAAAATGCAGATTCTGACTCAGGTCTGTGCTGGGGTTGCCGCTACATTTCTCACAAGCCCCTAGGTGATGCCGCTGCCTGCCACTGCTGGTCCAGGCCCCGAACCGCGGGATGTGGGAAGAGCAGAGGCCCGGGAATCAGGAGGGTGAGCTGGGAGCCTGACTCTGCTACTTGGCAGCTGTGTGATGGTGGGCAAGCTGCTTAACCTCTCTGAACTTCAGATTTCTCACATTCAAAATGGGGACACTGGTGCTGTTTAGGGTCTTTATAAGAATCAGAGATCATGCAGGTAGATTTCCTACCCACTCCCAGAGGGGAGCGGGGGACCCAATGGACTGCATCGCCTTCATGGTAGGTTCAGCTGAGACCCATTTTTCTTTTCTAAAGTAGCTAATCCTCTTCTTCCAGGTCAGGGCTTCTCCACCTCGGCACTGCTGACATCTTGGGTTGGATCATTCTTTGTTGTAGGATGTCTAGCAGCTTCCTTGGCCTGTGGCACCATCTCCCCAGGTTGTGACACCCCAAAATGTTTCTGAACTTTTCCAAATGGCTAGGAAGCAAAATCACCCACAATTGAAAAACACCATTCTAAGCAATACATCTTACTAATGATTTATTCAACAATATGTGTTCAGTGCCTACTTTGGGCCAGATCGGATGCCAGAAATATATTGGTGTTTAAGATGAGCAAGGTCCCTGACCTCATGGAGATTTTTTGCTTTCAGAGCCTTAGTCTTCTTAACTATTTAATAGGTATAACCAGGCTGCTGACTTTCTAGAGTTGTTGGGAAATGAGTTAAGACTTGAAAAAGGCTGGCCCATGGTGTCTGAGTAAGCCAATGACTTGGGAGTAGGGTGGACCTGGGGAGCGGACTTGTGCTTGGGGAGAAGTGACGTGGGCAAGGACAGATGAGCTGGAGCTGGAGGGGCAGAGAGAAGCCAGGAGATCCGGGCTGCGAAGGCCAGGCTGGGCCCTGGTGGGACCTGAACTGGAGAGAGAAGGGAGAGGCGGTGGGAGGGACATAGAACCACAAGGTAAAGGGAGGAGCAAAAAGGAAGGGTAGAGATAAAGCAGAGAGGCACAGAGAAAACGAGTAAAAACCAGACACACATGTGCACACATGATGCACAGTGGAGGGAGATCGAGGGCGGGAGGGAAATGCCACGAGGCAGACAGCCCCACGGACCCTGTTCCCCGGGCAGCCACGCAGGACCCAAAGGAGCCGTTGTTTTAAGCACACTGGATTTTGGTTAAAAGAGGACACCAAGGCCACCGCCAGGTGAGTTCAGTTTGGGAGCCGCCTCTTGCCTCATCCTCTGAACGGGCTCCCAGCAGAGGGCCGTGGACGGGGCACAAGCAGCTGTGGAAGAAAGGAGGCCTCTGTGCCCTGTTCCGCGTGGTGTTATCACAGTGATTGTGGAGACGATGTTAAACTCATTTATAAGCAGTTAGCAAAGGGGAATATAAATGACCCTGGGCGCAGCCCTGGCCGGCCCACCGGGAAGCACGTGGTTAAAGCAATCAGTTCTAGTGGAACGGAGCTGAGAAGATTGCCCAGCGTGGCCAGGCGGCTGGCCTGGAGCATCCTGGAGCACACAATCCAAGCCGGCAGCATGAAACACAGGCGACCAGACGCACTCCCCGCGTAGGGCGATCACGTTCTCTGGCTGCTGTTGGGTGGCAGCGACAGAGGCCAGAAAAGCCTATTGGGTCATACAAGGTCCAGTTGCCATATTTTTAAAACGACAAAGTCTCAAGCACGTTACACTGTGAGCTTTCGATTTTATTAGAAACATCACAGGAGCAGTCAAGGAGCTGTGCCTGCAGACGGGACGGGTCCCGTCACTGGTTCCACAAAGACCTTCCAGAGCTCCTGCAGCAGAGAGGAGAGATTCCAGTTGAGACCTCACAGCTTCATCAAGGGCTGTGATTAGCAAAAGAAGCGCCAAAAACACGCTAAAAACAGGCAGACCGCAAGCTACCGCGAGAGCAGGAAGCGTATTTGATTTCTTTGCTGTTCTGCTTTTCTGCGGAAGAGAAGCTGCGTGGTGAGTCCTGGCGCTGATCCAAGGGGCATCAGAGTGCCACGGGGTCAAAGGGACCAGAAGAATGGCAGTGAGCGCACCCCTTTCCTGCGTACCAGGCACCATGGCTGCTGAATCTCGTGAGGAGCTGATTTCTCGATTGTGTGAAGCTCCCCTTAATGCTGGCAGGTGAAGGTACCAAACATGCCAAGTTCCGGTGGGATCCTGGCATCCTCACTAGCAGAAGTAGCCTCAGAGGCTGACTGCGGGGAGGCCGCCCAGAGGCGGTGGAGCGACGGAGGGAAGGCCCTCCTGGAGCACGGAACCGCACAGAACCGCACGGATCCGCACAGAACCACTTGAATGCAACACCACTCTTGCCTGCGGATGGGAGCGGGAGCTGAGCAGGCCCTCCGTCAGCCCTCGGGCCTGGGTCCCACACACAAGAGACCAAGACAGCGAAAGACCTTCGGACTTCTGTGAACCCAGCTCCTGGGAATTTTAAGGGATCTTAAAGGGTACTTTTGACTTTTCAAATTTCCCTTAAGTGCTGGTTTTAAACCTGTGACAGGAAGTGATGCGAAGGTAGGATGAACCCCAGCTCTGCCGTTTCCTGGCTGGGACTCACCACGTCTCGGCGCAGAGACAGGGATGAGAGGGGCTCAGCCGGGCACCTGGCATGTTATTAGGATGACTGCTCAGAGGCCTGTGAAGGGATCCCACCGTGCCCTGGGCGGAAGGGCCACTGGTCATCAGACGTGCCCGCCTAGTCCGCAAAGCCACGTCCCTGGACGGTGAAGATGTGGCCACTGGCACTGGGGCTCCTGCATCAAAACCTCCAACCCAACCAAGTGCCCCCAGACCTCCTGCTTCCTTTGGAGTCCGCACTGCCCATGGGGAAAGAAAGTGCTATGAGCCAGGTGACCATTCACCAGCAGCCATCCCCCGATCTGGTGAGACTCCACCCCAGGTTCCAGCAGGGAGTGACACTGGCACTCCTCCCCGCTGGCCGCGCTGGGGCCTGGCTCACCACCTCCTCTGCCCCGCAGCTGACAGCCTCACACCAGAGGAAGCGGCCCTTGGGCCAGCGGTGCACCTACCAGCTGCTGGATGCGCTCGTAGACCAGGAGCTGCGGGAAGGAGGCGTCCACCGGCTCCACCACGAAGCGCAGCCGGCCGTCGGCGAGCCTCTCCAGCTGGCGCAGGCAGGAGCGGAAGTGGTCGTAGGCCTCGCACGTGACGTCCAGGTGCCTCAGCGTGAAGTTCAGCCTGCGGACAAGCAGGACACACACATCGCCCATCATCACCCGAACGTGCTGCTGCCCCCTCATCACCGCCTTCCTGAGGCCCCCGATTTCACGTCGCGGCGCAGCATTTTAACTGGGTGCCTCCTGCGCGCTGGGTGTGCGCGCACGGCCTTCCGGCACCAGTAGGAGAGCCTGGGAGGGGGACACGGTTCCCACCTCCACCCAACAGATGTGGGCACCTGTCCAAGGCCCCGCCCTGCGGGCTGCAAACAGGTGCGGCAGGTGGCGTAGAACCACCTGAGGACGGTCCCCCTCCCCCTCCGCCCAGCGCAGGCCCTGCGCTTGGACCGCCCACAACGTTCACGTTATGGACGCACAACAGGCGGGGCAGGGTGGGGGGGCGGGGGAGAGTCCAGGGAGGGCCGACTTCAGAACCGAGCCCTCACGGAGCATCCCACACCCTAACCTGCAGCACCACCCAACGTGAACCTCACACTCTTCACCGCTTTCCCTTTCCTTTCCAAAATCTTACTATTAAAAATTTCAAATATATAAAAGGGGCAAGGATGGTACAGTGAACCGCCCAGCTTCAACCTTCGTCAGCTCATGGCCTCTCTGCCACCTCTGCCCTTCCCCTGCCCCGCCACCCCGCCCCCAACCAAATTATCAAAAAGCAAAGCCAGACGTCACAGTATTTCCTATGTAAACATGTCAGTATGTCTCTTGAAAAAAGGGTTTTCGCTTGAAACAAACTCAATTAATCTTTCACATCAAATACTCAGTGTTCAACTTTTCCTGACTGCCTCACCCATAAAGGCTTATGAAATCAGAATCCAAGTGATCGGATCCACATGGTGCTGTTGGTCATGTGAACCTCAAAGGGGGCCCCTGAGGTTGTCGGTATAAACAACACTGCAACGTGCAAGTGCCCACCCGGGCGGCTCTGTGCACGGCCGTGGCCGCTTCCTCAGGGCGAGTTCTAGATGCTGAACTGCTGGGTTTATCAGTGTTTGGCTTTATGGCTTTTGCTACATATTCCAAGTTGCCTTCAGAACAGCTGTGGCTTATGGTGAGAACGAGAGGAAGGTGTGTGTAGCGTGCCCAGCACTGCATCTAGCACGAGACGGCCACTCCATCCACAGGAGCCCTAACGTTTCAGGACGTTCAAGTGGAAGTGTCCCGGAGGGTCCCTGTCCGCGTCAGGAAGAGGACGGTGGCCCGGGGCGTGAAGCAGAGGTTCAGGAAGAGCAGGGGCCCTCGGCGGGTGTGGTGGCCCCGCGTCTTGGCTCTGGTGCACCGTCTGCATCCCAGTCTTCGTCTGTTCGCTGTCCAGTTGCGGCCTGGGGGGGTCCCTGACGCCTCAGGCTTCCTCTCTTCAGCTGTGAAATGGGGACAGCAGCACCCACGCGCGGGGTTGGTCAGTGGATTACATGAGGCCGTGTGTGTAAAGGACCAGCAGGTGCGTGACCATGATGACACTGAAGAGGACACACCTGGAAGGTGAGAGTCTGGCTCTCGGGGACATCAGCCCGGCCCCGTGCAGAGCTCACCTCTTCTCCACAGAGAGGATGGCTGTGCAGGCATTTTTCAACTTGTGAGCGAGTCGGGAGAGTGTTTTAAACAGAGCATCAGTTAAGTCATCATCGTAAAACACTGTGGGGAAGAAAACAGGCAAATATCAGAGAAAACTACCCCTCAGAGGACCACGTGCCACCGTGGACTGAGGCCAGCAACAGGTCTCAGAATTAAAACCGCACAGAGACGTGGGAGGACCCTGCCCGTGAGGATGTGACGCCAACACCGTGGGAGGAAGAGGGCGCTCACCTTCGGCCGCGAGCAGGATGGTGGTGTGGCCATACAGGTCGGAGACGTCCTCTTCCGACCAGCTGAAGGGGACCTCGGGATCTGTGAAAGAGCAAGGACATCTTGGGGTCAGCCCTTTCTCTGCAGGCTGCCAGCACTCACCGAGACTGACTGAAAGAAGCTTCAGGAGAAGAAGCGGGGTTGGGTCAGCTCAACGCAGGGGGCACCACCAGGCAGCCCCGAACCCCAGAGGCCCAGCTTCAGGGCCCCTGAAGGCAGACTTCAGCCTAACCCGCTGACTCGGCTGGTAGCCTGTGTCTGTACCTCCGTCCACAGTACTCCTGCCCCCATGTACCTGCTGTGTGACCCCGAGAAAGGTGCTTCCCCTCTCTGAGCTGCAGTGGTCACACTAGAATGGGCATAATAATGCTTCCCTCACAGGGCTGTCAGGGAGACCAAAGGACCTCACGTGTGCGAGGAGCCTGGTAGATGACAGGCACTCACCAAGCAATGATCTCCCTCACCTGACGTCTAATAGGGAAAAGAAAAGTGAGAGCTAGTGTGCAGGTCTGCAACAGTCTTTATAAAAAATTTAGCAATCTCTCACCCAGCAGGCCCTGAACCCACGTGGCTGACTCCCTGCTGTGGGCTGAGGACTGGCGCCAATGGGAGGAGGCTTCCTGGCTGGGAAACGGTCTCAGCCCTGGAGTCCAGAGACCTGGGTTCACATCCTGACCTGCCAAGTACCTGTGACCCTGCACAGGCACTTAGTCTCTCTGAACGGCAGTCCTTCCCCGTAATTCAGGGACCACTGTACCAACCATACAGTGACTCTGTGAGTCTGAATGACAGGATGAGCAGAGTGTGCCCGGCATGCAGCACCAGAAAGGACAGCCGTCACTCACAGGCCCACAGAGCCAGGACTCTGCTGGTTAGTCAAGGCCACAGGGCCGATGGCCTCAGGCATCACAGTGAACCACCAAAGGGACACGAGGAGGAGGACATGCACCTGTGCAGAGGTCATCTCTCAGCCAGTCCAGTTCCTTGACCTTAACTACACCACCTGCAAAAGCAAAGACAAACAGGACCCCTAAACACTGAACACAATGAGGGAAAAGATAAACTTTCCACTGCACACCAAGCTCCATCCATCCATCATCACTCCCCAACCCCCGCAACCTCCCGCAGCTTCTGAGTGCTGAGCATCAGGCCTGGGCTGGCACAGGGAACACAGAGACTGATGGACATGTCCCTGTCCTAGGAGGCTGGCAGGCGGCAGAAACCACACTGACGGGCCTGCAGTCAGGGTGACGTGAAGGGGAGGTGCCAGGTGCACAGGAGGAGAGGGACTCTGGTGTTGATGGGGTGTCAGGGAAGGCTTCAAGGAGGACGGGCTTCGAGCCTGCTCCTTCCTTCCAGGCCTGCTGACAGCCTGCTGTGCCCTGGCCACTCGACAGACAACTTGACACAAGGGATCAACCACAGATGGGCCCTGCCCTCACGGAAGGTGTGGCCTAGTCGGGTGGCAGATGCCAGTCAACTAGTCACATAAATGTCAAAACGCAATGGTTCAAGGTGAAAGGAGAGTCTGTTAGGGGACTGTGACCTCACCTGGAGGTCTGAGCATGATTCGGAACCAAGAGGAGGATGAGAAAGAGAGTTCCAGGCCGGGGAACCAGCAGGGCAAAGGCCCCAAGGGGAGGGGAACCTCCAGCAGGGCCAGGATGGGGAACGGGGGGCACTGTGGGGAGGGGCTGCCAATAGGCAGGGGCCAGACATCTCAGGATGTGGACTAGTAAGGGGGCTGGGAAACCTCTGAAGGGTCTGAAGCCCGTGGGGCCGGAGTGAGCCAATCGGAGTCTGGCAAAGTGCCCCAGGCTGCTTGGAGGAGGACGCCTGGACAGGCAGACTAGTTAGGAGCCAGCTGCCACGTCCATCATGTGAACTTAGTCCTGCAGGCGGTGCAGGACGCTGACGGTCAGGCCAATGGGTGGGGGGCATCTGGGACAGAGGGAAGAGCATGAGGAGTGACTCCGAGGCTCGCTGGACGCAGGGCTAGACGGCACTGTCAGGATAGGAGGTAGGAAAAGTGGGCCAGGGCCAGACCAGGCGGTTTGGAACCAGGGAAGAGCTCAGCCTTCACCCCAGAAGGCTTTCAGTGGGGAGTGACGGGCCAGGCTGTCTTACAAAGGTCACTCCGGATGCTACACAAAGGACAGCTTGGGTGCATCAGACAAGGAGCTAGGGAGAGCGGGTAGGGGCCCTGCGACCTCCAGGGAGGAGAGAGCTGAGGTAGCATGTGGCGGTGGGCGTGGGAAGAGGAGACGTGGCAGCTAGAGTCCTCTAGGATCTGAAGCGACTGGAAGCCAAGTCGTCTGCTCTGCCACTCACTGAGGCATCAAGGGAAGCAGACAGAAGCCTGCCTCCATGTCACAGTTCTGGGTGTCTGCCCACCTGCCAAACAGAGAAACCTCCCTCTGGGGCGGGAGATCCCCCGGGCCTCACCTCCAGCGGCGGTCAGGTGGCTGTTGAGGGCAACGTTCCGCTGGCACATGGCCAAGAGATCTGCACCGACATCTGGAAAGACAGAGGGCACGCCATAAAGCGCCAGCCGGGGCGGGGCGGCCCTCCTGTCTCCGTGCCTCTGCCTGGGGAGAGCTGCTTTCAGCAGCACGACTGCAGAAACGTGTGAAATGCAAACTGAAGTTTCTCCTGAGTGCTTTACTGCCAAAATGAAATACATTCAGCATAAGGCTTTTAACGATCTCTTCCTTGGGTAAGAGGTGATTCTGGTAGGGACAGGGTCTGTGCATTCCAGAGATGGAGGTGAGAGCTCCCAACTCCCTTAGAGCACAGGAAACAGGCACGTGCCTCCCGAGTCCACCCTCAACATTTCTGATGACCCTACAAGCTGCTGTCGCGGTCCCACTTCACGGACAGCTGGTTGGAGCAGAGTCACGTGGCTGGGCGGAGCCAGGGTGGCATTTGAGCACAGGTGCCTGTGACTCTGGATCTAGGCTCATTCTCTGACAGCCCAGAAAACTGGCCAGTGCCAGAAGGGCGTCTGGGTGTGATTAACAGAGACAGAGCAGGTGCAGACAGGCTGGAGGCAAGACTGCTGGTGCCTGACTTGCTGTCGCCACCATCATATCTCCTGAGCTGCCTGCTGCTCTCATGAGGAGAGAGCAGCTCCTCTTTGCTCCAGCAGAACCGAATTCTAGTACACTGAGTCCTCGATGGGGGTGGGGGCAGTGCTTTGACAAAAATTAACTTTCAGTTAGGAGAGTGTGCACATGGAAGGCACTCGCCTGGCCCTCTGTGGGTGCCCCCGCTCCCCCACTGCAGATCCCTGGGGGCCAGACTGTCGTCTCCATCCCAGGGACCATGCAGAGCCTGGGTATGAGTGTCGGGGATGGCGGGCTCTCTGCTCATCGAAGGGACACACCTGTTCCTTTTCCTGGGCCCCAGGTTAAGAGGCTACTGATGTATGTGTCTGACAGCACAGGGCTGGGTCAGCAGTTTTTAAGCCTTTATGTACTTTTTGTCAAAACAGATCTTGTGTGGGATTGTAACGTGTAAAACAGATGAGAGAGGAGCACGGAGGGCTGAGTCGGGGAGGGAGACCTGGAGTTCCGGGGCTGCCCCTGCCCTCTGCTCCATGGAAGACGGCGTGAAACCCCCACATGAGGAGGCACCACGCTGTGAGCCAGCAGCCATGCGTGTGACCCGGGCAGCCACCTGACCTTAGCCTTGGTCTGCCCATTTGGACAAAGTGGGAGTTGACAGGCCTCCTGGCTACTGCCCTGTGAAGCTGCAGGTGCTGATGCCTGTGAAAAAGCTTCACGAACTTAGACGTGCTGTCAGGATGCAAGCTCTGGTCTCCACGCCGGGACAGCTCTCTCTCGAGGGCAAGATAACCGGATGAGATGCTGCTGTTGGGTGCCAGGCACAAGCGCAGCCCTTGGGTGTTGCTTCACGGCTTGACTCACTCACTGGCAACTGACCCCAAATCGTCAAGGAGCAGCACAAAGGGTGGCTGCCCTGCAGACCCCCGGGCAGTGGTTACTGTTGGGTTTCTGAACAGTACACCTGAATCCCAGGCCGCTCCAGCTTCCTCTTTCCCAGCTCGAGAGATGCAAAAGCAAAAGACATGCACCAGGAAAACATAAACCAGGGGTCGAAGAATTGCAAACCACACCAACAGACACGGCTGTCTGCCTAGCGGGTGTTAAAGACGTGAAACACAACGATAATATTGACCCGATGCGATCCTACTCTCCCATCAACGGGGATGCTCTTCCTAAAAAAGCCCGCTGCAAGCCTGCAGCGTAGCTGCCAGCACTGCACCGCGCAGTCTGCTGCATGTTTCCTGAACTGTGGTAGTTAAGATGCTACCATCGGGGGAGCTGGGGAAGGGGACGTGGCACTTTCTATAATATTTTAGTAACTTCTCTGAGAGTCTCCTGTGACTTCAAAATAAAAAATTCAAAAAGGAATCATGAGACAGTAAGTATTCAAAAGCTCAAGAAAGGTCCCGCTGACTTCTAGGAATCTAGCCTAAGGATTATCAGACAACGATGCACAAAGGTATCTGTTGCAGTGCAACTGACATGCAAAGACCCCCCCAAATCCCAAAACACAGCACATGAAAACAGCCAAAATGTCCAGCAACAGAAGAATGGTTTAAAAAAGGAGAAAGAAATATTACATGGTCATTAAAAGTCATTTATAATTTTTAACGGTCATGGAAAATGCTCTTTCCATTTTTCAACATTTTTGGCAGGATGTAGCCCTGAATATAGTTTGATTTCAGCTATTGTTTGGGAGTGTGTACACACAAAGGAAGAAGACTGTAAAATATATATATATATATATATAAACAGTTACAAAACAGATTCGAAAGCTCCCTGAGGACAGGGACTTGATCTGTTTTATTCGCTCCTGGGTCTCCCGCATCTGGAACTGTGTCTGGCAGACAGCAGGTACTCAATGAATTGCCTATTATTGAAAAAACCCGACAATTGTAAAATTATGAGTAAGTGTAAGTTTTATTTGCTCTTCTATAAATAGTAGGCAAGATCTCCACAATCAGGGAAAAACAAAAATCTTGTTTTAAGCCTTACGAAAAGCATACGCGTGGTTTTCTGAGATGCTTACTCTTCTGAGGGCATGTGAGTGGAGGTACCAGCAGAGCCGCTGGTCCTGCACCTGCTGGGTGCTGCTGGGTCATTCTGAGAAAACCATGGAGGGTGGAGAAAGCCAGCCAAAGAGGATGGCAAAATTAATAGCAGCCAGGGACCAATGTCCAGTTTCTCTCCCTCACTTTTTTTTCCAGACAGTACATGCTTTGTGAAGAGACCACTTCCCCTCAGCCTGGGCTGGCAGGGCGCTACCTGTGCAGTAAACGGTCCGAGCCACGGTGGCTGCGATGATGCTGGCGAGCCCGGTGCCCCCTCCCAGCTCCAGCACGGTGCGGCCCTGGAAGAGGTCCCGCTGGAACAGGACGTAGTCCGCCAGGAGCAGGGCGCCCCGCCACACCTGGAGGAGAGAGGGACAAGGAATGACAGGTGATGTGAGGCTCGGGAGAGACCCTTCAGGGCCATGGAAAGTAGACGGGACCTACCCACCTGCTTGCCAACATCCTCCAGCGGGGTGGCCATGGTGTGCTCTGGACAGGACAGAAACCAAAAGAGAAAGGGCCACCATGAAAATGGGGATGGACAGACCACAGACAGACGGATGCATGGCAGGCTGCAAACACGGTCGGATGGGGGCTGGAGGCAGGCGTCCTGAGGAGGAGCAGAAATACAGGACATGCTACCAGTCCGGGGTGGGGGTGTGTGTGTGGCATCACTCACACTCCGGGCACCACGGCTCGCTCTCATTCTGATCCCTGGGTGTCTCCGCCCTGCAGCGCCAAGACTCAGGTCACAAGAGGACAGGGCCCAACTTAATCAAGCACACCCCTCCCCACTCCGCTTTTTTATGCTCAGTAACTGCATATTCTAATCGTAATGTATTTATGTTTTGATCAGCTGTACGCTAAGAAGAATCACAATTCATTCCCAGATATTTTCTTGCACTTAGAACCACACTAAGCTAAAAAAATAAGTTTGAGTTTATACCCTTTTTTAGGTGAAAAGCAGTATGTAAAAAGTATCCTGAAGCACAAGATACATTAGGATGAAATCTGGTGCCGGTTGTGGAGGAGGGGAGAGGACAGAACTGCGAGATCGAGGAGAAAAAGGAATGACGTCAAACACTTCTCCTGTTAAGTAAGCACCAGCTCTCGTATTTTTAAGCAAGATGGTGATGGCTATTGAACCTAAACGCCCACAACACACGCACAGCAGGGAAGCTGCACGTGCTCGTCAGACTGGCTCAAGTCAAGCCCCAGGCTCACATCAAAACCAGAGCAGAGAGCAAGGTGGGGAGAGAAGAGCAGTGAGGCTGAAGGTGTGAGTGGGTGTGCGTGTCCACACACGTGTGTGGGGGAGGCGGTGGGGGGGAAGAGGCCTCCTCGGGGTCCCGGCTTCCATAGCCCTGCTCCAGACCTCCCACCCCCACCCCACCCCCTCCCCAACTCTGCAGCCCCACAGTGTGCTGTCCCCTGGCTGCGGCTCACAGCACCCCTCAGAAGGCCCCCTCCCACTGCCCCCCCCGGCCCCCGCCTCTCCTCTCTGCCCGGCCCAGCCAGGGCGCCCTCCCAGCGGGATCTCGGTCACAGGCACTTGGTCTTTTCTCCGAGGGGTTTCGTGCACTTAAGTCTTGCCTCCCAGCTGCATCCAAGGGGCGCTCGGCTTCCCTTGAGAGAGAAGGTGGACTAAGCTCAGACAGACCCAAGTGTGAACCAGGCTTGGTCACATCCTAGCTGGTGGCGGGACTCACTGAACTCTTCGGAGCCACAGCCCATTTGCTCCCTTATAAAACACAGAAATAACACCTTCACCTCATCTGTGGGCTCAGTGGCCTCCCTAACCAGCGCCCAGGGCGGGGCGTTCCTGCCCTGGGAGAAAGTCAGAGTTTACACCCAAGACAGTCCCAATGGCGCCATAAAAACGTCAAAGGCCAGCTTGAGGAACAAACCCATGAGAAACTCCAGGGTCACAAACGGGGTGAGACAGATGATGTTAGAATCTGATCTGCACCCTGCCCCCATCAGGACAGCCTCTAGACCTGCAGGAGCCCAGCCTCTCCTCCCTGCCCATCTCCCTCCTCCACACCTGGATCAGTCCCCAGGAGTTAAGGCTGATGGCAGCTCACATTTTCGGAGCACTACTATGTGCGAGGAGCTCCACACGCGCCATCTCTCTTGCTTCCTCACACCAGAGGCTACACCCATTTTATAGGCAAGGAAACTGAGCACGGAGGCCAAGGGACTTGCCCAAGTCACAGGCCAACAGAGAAGGCACGTGACTCGGGATCTGACAGCCTGAGTTCCAGCTCTGCCTCTTCTGAGTTCTCGCTGGGTCTCAGTTTCTTTACCTATAAAATGAAGGATAGGATGATAATTTACTGTGAACCCTGGGTCTGTGGATTCCTAGCAGGTCCATGGCTAAGCTTTAGATTTGATAATCCACTGAAAGAGTTTGGAAAACACACTCTCCTCCCTGCAAGGGAAGTTTTTAAAAATCAGTTTCTCAAATGGGCCCACAACCTGGGGGAAAAAGGCTTGGCTCATGGAAGGGAGGCACGGGGTGACCAGGACAGACACCTGCTCAGCACCTACTCCACGCCAGGCCCCGCAGGAGGCACTCATTGGGCAGTATTTATGAAATTATCACCAAAATCCAGGGAGGGCACCTTCCCCGACCCCGTTTTGTAGTCCAAAAATGGAGGCTCTGGGTGGGCAAAACACTTGTCCAAGGTCCCCTGGCTTGTGAGGAGCTGGGGAGCTCTACAGGATCCCGCAGTCCAAGACCCCTTCCCTACGTCACACTGTACAGGTGCGGATGGACCATGGACCAGTTAGGAGTTACCGCGTAAGCTCAGGCAGTTAATTACACTTCCACTCTCCCCCTGGGGGTAGGTGGGACAGTGAGCTAAAAAGGAAGGTGAACCTCCATCCAGGCCTGTGAGATCCGGCTTCACCACTCGCCACAGGGAATGAGGCAGGAGGGGAGCCTGCCCCATCCTTCAGGACTTTGTTCTTAGCTTGCAGGATGGGAAGCTCTCAGAACGTTGAACACAGGCAGTCTGGGGGCCAAACGACTCGCTGTGGAAGAACCAAGCCTGCCGCTGCCCTCCGCAGGGAGGCCAGTTAAGTGAAGGCTGGGTGAAAAGAGCAGTCCCCGACGCTCCTGCGGGTAGAACTTTCTCATGCTGTGATCGCATGACGTGGGTAAGAAACATGGGCTGGGGCGTCAGACGGACCTGGGTGGGAATCACGGCTCTACCACTGACTAGCTATGTGAGCTTGGGCGAGTTCCTTAACCTCTCTGAGCCTCAGTTCTCGCCTCTGTGAAACAGGAACACCCATCTCTGGCAAGGCCGTGAGAACCAGAGGTAATCCCCCACCCCCACCAGAGGTCTAGAACACAGCCGGCTGTTCTGTCTGGGCTTTTGAGAGTGCCCAGTGGACCCCATGCCCCCATCCTGGCCAGGACTGAGGGAGGCCTCTACCTGGGTCCTCAGGCACCATTCAGGACCCTGGATCTCAACGAGCAGACTCAAATCAGAGCTCCTTCCCCCAGAGGAGTAGTGCTGGGGGTGGCCAGAGCCCAGGCTGTGGAGACGGACCACATGGATTCAGAATATTCCTCACCGCCACCAAACTGCACGGCCTTGCGCTCGCCACCTCCTCATTTGTACTACCCCTCACAGGGGGTGATGAAGGTAAATCTCTAAACACAACAGATGCTCCACCATCGCTAGCTTACTGCCTGTCCTGGCTCTTCCCCACTCCTGGCATTTCCAGAGATGAAAACCCTGGAGTCACCAGGCCCCTCTGCATCACCCCTACATCTGGGAGTGGGTGCTCTTGATCCAGCCTCTGCATGCCCACTCTACCTCTCCCGCCACTTCATCACCACCCCCGTTCCCCACATCATCACCCCCCTTTTCCCACCTGGCTTTCAGCTCCCAGTTGATCTGATCAGCCCACACAGTCCCCCAGATTAACTCTGGATCTACCTCCCTCTCCCTCTACCACAATCCAGCTCCAGAATCTCCCATGGCTCTCTGGTGCCGGCCCAGGCTGGCTGGGTATAACACAAACTCAGTCCCCCGCCCACACCCCCAGCATGCTGAGTTGGATCCAATGTTGATGCAGGAGGAGAAAGGCTTCCTGGAGGAGGTGATGGCCAAGCTGAGACTTGGACAACAGTTAGGAATGTGTTAAGCAAGCAGACGCTGGGGGCAGATGTTCTGGGAAGGAGGCAGAGCACAAGCAGAGGCCCACAGATGAGAAAGCACACAGCATGGGGAGAGGGTCGGTCGCAGTGTGAGTTGAGGCTGGAGAGGTAGGCAGAGCCACCTCACGCACAGCCTTGGGAGCTAAGGTGAATCACTGGACTGTGTCTTGAGGGCAATGGGGAGCCACTGAGGAGTCTTGAGCAGGAGAGCAACCCGACTGTGTGTTTTGGAAAGCTCTCCTGCTGGCAGCAGTGCTATTCGCCCCCAGTTTCATGTGAGCTGTTCAGCTAACCGGTCCTGCCCTCTGATACCCTGGATGGGCCTGGACACAGTGCCCACGCTCAGGCATCCTCGTGCCCCCACCGACACTGGGGAGCTGGCTTGGCAGCAGGTGAGCCTCTCTCTAATTACCTATTTTGATGAAATCGTGGGGGCTGCTCTCTTGGGCTTCGTCTCCCAGGCCATCGTCTTCCTCCTGCGTTAGAATCATGGGATGTACCTTGTCTCTCAGGGGCCCTGGTGGGTCAGAGGCAGCCCGTGGTCTTCTCACAACGTCCAAATCCCCATCCTCGTCCAGCTGAGCTTCCAGCCCCTCCTGGCTGCTGGTGTCAGCCTCGGCCTGGAGGGAGACGCCCTCACTGTGGCAGCCACTCCCTGGAGGGGACGCTGTGTCAGTGGGAGGAGTCTCCTCTGTGCGGACATCGCCACCCTTGACCCCCGAGTCTCGGTTCCACAAAAGCTTGAACTGGGACAGGAAAACTGAAAGGCAAGACAGAACACAGGAGGATATTTCCAAACTGTCTCCTTTTCTATTTCCCTTCCTCTCCTTTCAGAAAATCTGATTTCCACTTGGAAAGCATTTTAAAGGCCAGGTGGAGACATCATAACACCAGAAGAAAGGGTGGATTCAGCTGTGATGCTGTGGCCTCCAGAGCAGTCACCACGGCCACCAGAAGCAGCTGCCACATGAGGAGCATCTATACTGCAGGCACCCAGCTCACACGGTCCCGCCTAAATCTCACAGTCCTATGAAGCTAGTGGTGTCACTCCATTTTACATATGTGGAAACTGAGGCTCAGAGGTTAAGTGATCTGACCAAGGCCTCACAATGGTGGATGTGGCTTCAGCATGATACAAACCCAGTCTACTCAACTCCTAAGCTGATGCCCCGTGCTGCCTCGTAAAGCCTGGAGACTAGGACAAGGACACCAACTGCCCTTAACATCCGGTGGCCAGAAAGTGACCGGGGCAAGTTTTGGTACGAGTATGGGTGCTAGGAACGGTGGGCTGGAGGTGGAGGCAGGGTGCAAGGAGCTGAATGGACAGTCCTGGGCCCGAGTCCTCTGTGTCCCCAGGTTGTCTGACGCTGGGGCAAGTCACTTACCTGTTCTGAACCTCAGTTTCCTGAATCCAAACCCAGACATAAGAGAAAAGGAAGTTATTAATGGCACCAGAACAAGCAAATGCAGGGGGATTGGAGCTGCGGAGGTGGACAGGGAGGGCCTGTTTGAGGTGCCATTTGAAGAGTCAAGGCTGGGAGGGAAGAATGTTCTGGGCAGAGCGAAGGTGCACGCAGTGTGTGAGGGGCAGAAGGGAGTAGAAGGCGGCGGCAGGCCAGCAAGGGAGGGGAGAGAAGTGTAGACACACGGGCAGGGGTGGGGTGGGGCTGGGCCTCGCAGGCCAGGGTGAGGACTCCGGTTTCATTCTAAGAGCAAGGGAAGCCTCTGGAGGTCTAAATCAGGGCAGTGTTGTGATCTGCGTTTTTCAAAAGATTCCCTTGGCTGCTGGGGAGAGGAGTGGTGGAGGGGGTGCAGGAGGAGAACCAGGGAGCCCAGTGGAGAAGCCAGAGGCAGCCAGGCCAGCAATGCAGGGGGCCAGCCTGGGGTGAGCCTCCCCTCCTGGCCCACAGGCTCCCTGAGGGCAGAGCTCGGCTTCTGCATCCCCAGCACCGAGTCCTGATCTGGCACACAGCGGGCGCTCAGGAAAGCACAGGCGTTTACCCACTGAAACAGCGGCACTTAAGAAGTGGTGTGAGGGTCAGTTAGACCATCCAGTCTCCCCAGCCTTTTCTGTGAAAGAGCAGAAACACAATGGGTTCCCCAGGGCGCAGGGACCTTACCTGGCTGCCCCATGCCATTCAGCCGCACCATGAGGTGTCTCTGGTTTGGGGTGTAGAGGTGGACATCTGACAGCACGGTGTCACTTTTGAAGGTGATTTCATCCATGGTGGGGCGGGAGCCAGCGACCATGGCCCAGGCGCCACATTAATCACGGGACAGCAGCACCTGAGAGGCAAGAACAAGTCCTCAGGACAGCAGGTCCCAAAGGAGAACACTGTAAATGGACCCCAGCCAGGTGGCAGAGAGCTCTGCATTGCCCTGGGAGTAAGACTTCCTTTTTCAATCCTCTCTTAATTCTTCCTAAAGGACAGCATCTCAGAGCCATGGCAAGAGAAAAGAATCCAGGTGGAACCGTTATTTTGTTTTGAAGTGTTCATTTTAATAGTAATCTTTCATTTATGGCAATAAATTTATATTTACTTATACTGATAAAGTTTTTCTTCCCTTTTTATTTTTTCCAACTTTTTTGTTATAAGAATTTTCAAATAACAAGTTGAGGGCATGGTATAATAAACAGCCATATACCCACTGCTTAGAGTCAATGATCATTAACGCTTTGCCATATGTGATCAATCTATCTATCTAACCAGGTTTTTTCTCCCCTGAACTCACCGAGTACATTCTAGACATCACAACATTTTACCCCTAAATTCTTCTTCAGCACCTGGCTCCGAAGCACATGCTCCTATATAACCATAAGACCATTAACGGACCTAAAATAATTAACAACTCCTTTATACCATTTAAAACCCAGTTCATGATCAGTTTTCTCCATTTGTCACCCAAATGTCTTTTGTAGCTAGTTTTTCCTAAACCGGTATTCATGACAATTTTCACTTTGCATTTACTTATTTTCCCAGCTGCCCACATAACATGTGTTTTAAAACCTTCTTTTTAAATTAAAAAAAAGTGAGTGGATTGAAAGGAAAAGCAATGAAAGGAATCACTGTGTAGGTGACATATAGACAAGGAAAAATTACGAAGGTGACACAGCAATACTAAAATTTGGAAAACTATGACTGAGGCCAAGTGGTCAAAACCAGGAAGGCTCTCCCTCCACCCGGGTGTTTCACTTCATCAACAAGCATCCAACAGCAGCAGCGTGCAGAGCCTTGGGCTGTGATGCTGGGCACAACAGGTGTAATCCCTCCCCATTCTACCTCCTTGCTATATGACCTTGGGAAAATGACTTCACCTCTCTGGGCCTGTTCCTTCAGCTGTATTCTCACCTTGCAGGGTTGTGGGTGAGGGGGACAGGCATCAAGTGCTGAGCAGAGTCCCTGGCCCATGGCTGTGGTTAATAAGTTCCAGAATATACTTGTCTTGGGGCTGGTTTCAGGTGTTTGACCCAAATGGGCCCACAATCACTGACAGGAACCATTCCTACCTGGGCAGGTATGCAAACTAGCTGTGTGCCCCAGGCATGTCATGAAACCTATTCCTTTGACTGGAAATGGGATCATCATAACCCAGGCTGTTCACAGTCTCAGTCCACACAACTACATTTAAGTACTTGCCATGATGCAAAAGTTGGCCAAACACAAACATTTTTATAGAAAAGCCAACCCCTTACTAGTCTCTGTGCTGGCTTTCTTATCTGACTCTATACACCAGCACAAAGTAAGTGGGTTGTTGAGTGAGGCTGTCAATCTGGTAAATTCATGCAGGATTTCATGGTGTCAGTGAAACTGATGGAGGAGAAATGATCTCTTTCAGGGTTTAGGACATACTGAGTGCTCAATATGTAACAGCAAATATTATCATTATAGCGTTGATAATAATAATAATAATTAAAGAGTGTGCTGGAAGATGGAAAAAGGCAATAGTTTCTCTAATCAGGAACAGCTGACTCAGTCTCCGTCTGGGAACGCGGGGCGGATGGGCTTTAGTCCCCTGTCCTCACTGGGGAGGAGGGAAAGGACATATCAACTGCTGACGGGGCCCCGCCCCCTCCTTCGGCTGGTTGCTGACAGCCGTCCTTAGCTTTTCTAAGACGGTGGGGACCAGATCAGACGCTGTCATCCTTTATCCAGTAGGAATCCCCAGTCAGGGCTACCCCCTAAAAGCAGTTTGCTGGAATCTGGGGTGTTGAAATACCTCCCCGCCTCCCGGGCTTTCTGTGTCAGGTGTCACAAACTCATCAAAAATCAGGAACTGGACGCGATTCTGGAACCAAGGCCAGGGGGTGCGGGGAAAAGACTTGGCCCTGGCCAGGGCGCGCAGAGCTGTATGTAGTCAGGTGCTCCACGGTCCTCGGCCCCGGGGGGTCTTCGTTCTGTCTTGCCGCCTCCCTAAACTCCACGCTGGTGGGTTAAGCACCGCCGTCTCAAACTGCAGTCACAGCTCGGGCATCGCCCTCCCTTCCTAGTCCGAAACCGAGGGGGCTGCTTGGACCCCGAATGGAAATCCAGACGACTGCATGGACTCCGTCCCCCAACACCCTTGCCTGGAAGGAGAAACTGAGGCTGAGTGGGTACTTAGGCTTCAGGTCCGTGGGAGCTCGTATTTCAAGGCCAGACTCGGTGCCAGGAGCCGCCCTGCATCCTACCCCGTGCCGCCGCCTCTCGCAGGGGCTTACCTGACGCCGACCGCAACCTGAAGTCCCGCCAGACCGCCTCACCACAGGGCTCAGGCGGCCGCCATGACGGAAGGTCTGCGCAGGCTCAGTCCCACCCCCGCCCCACCCCGCCCCACCCCGCCCCACGGTCCCGCCTACCTACTGGGTCGCGCATGCGTATCAGCGTTGCCGGCAGATGTGCAACCCCGAATAGGAGCGGTTCTCACCTGCTGGGGGTTGCTGGGGTGGTTGGCCTGGGTGGCACGGGTCTGCTAGCGGGGGGGCTGTTAGATAACTCACTCAAGTCACCCAGCTAAGTGGTGAGGCTTGAATTCTAACACGGATAATCGGGCTCTAGAGCCTGCGGTATTAACCAGCATGATAGCTATTTTATTATTATCCTTGCTTAGTACTCATTAATAGAAGTTGGTACTCATTTCATTCGTCCGCTGATCAAGTCTCCAACATCAGGCGAATGAAGAATCTCAGCGTAACTGGCGTCTGAAAGGAAATGAAATCCGATACAACTGTGGCACTTGAAGTAAACTTTAAAGCACGTAGGAAGCACCAGAGATGTAAAATGTGCGCGCGCACACGTGCACACACACTCACACCCACACAGGCACCCCTTGCCATAATTTTTAAATGGATTTCTCTCTTCAAGACAAAAGGAGGTCGACACCAGTTTCAGGGGTAAAACATGGGGAGTTGATAGCGTGACCAAGCAGCATAAATAAGAAGTGTTTTTGAAGGAACCATGTTTCCTGAACTCTCCAGGACAGTACATGGAGAGCCCGCGGGGCAACTTGAGACCCCATTCTAGTCCTGGCTGGGTTGTCTCCAGGGGGTGTCTGGGTGCTAGGAGGGCACTGAGCAAGGTGGTGTTAACACTCTGGATTTTTTGTCTAAAAACTTAACGAGAATAAAGCCGGCAGAGCCATCCTTTGAAAACAAAAGTCAGATCACCCTCCTTCTCTGTTCAAACCCTTGGAGGCTCCCCACCTTGGACAGAAAGAAAAGTCAGTATTCTCACAGTCGTCCCCTCCACATCTCATACCCACTCTCCTCCCCTCCCACCACCCTAAACAGTCACGGTCCCCTTCAAATGCTTTGCCTTCGCTGTTCTATTCACCAGGGATGCTTCTCCCCAGGACACCCACCTGCTTTGTTCCCTGCCCTCACCTCCTTCAGCCTTGTGCTCAAGCATCCTCTTCTCAGTGACATCTTCCCTAACCACTCTATTTAAAATAACCACCTTTCTCCACCCAGGCACTCCCTGCCACATAGAAGCTGCTCAACAAGTTCATTTTGTTGAATGAATGAAGGAAGGAAAGAGGGACATGTGTTCACTGGGTGTGCAGAGAGGGAGGACAAAAGCAGACTTAATGTCACTGGCCATCTCTGGGCTGCCTGAATGTGTTAGGGAGCTGGACAGAGAGCTGCTGGGGGTGATGTTGAGGTAATTCACATCATCACAGGCTTCCCATCATCCTCAGGGTCAAGTTCAAACTCTTCATCTGGCCCCTGTTAACCTTTCCTCCCTGAGGCATGGACAATATCTGTTCTCCTCTCCTCCCACAGTTGTATAATTTTGCTGGGCACATGCCTCCCCCAAGTTAAAAATTATTTCCCAGCCTCTCTTGCAAGAGGTCACGGGGTTAAACCAATGGGATTTAAGCCAATGGGATGTAAGGGGGATGTCATGGAGCAGCTTCTGGGACCCTTCCTTAGCAGGAATCTAGGGAGTCCTTTGTCCCTAATACTTTGTCCCCTCCATCATTCACGAGGCCCAAAAGAGATCAGGAGGAGGAGATCAGGAGGGCCCTTCACTAAGCTATGGCTGAGTTGCAACTCTTCTCAGGGGGTCTCTTCCTCCAGGAAGCCTTCCTTGATTCCCCCTCCTCCAGTAGATGAGTCTCTGGGCCTTCCCAGTCCACTCTTTTCTCCCCATCAGAGCACCTGTGACTCAGCTTGTCATGACCTGTTTACTTGTCTCCTACACTGGATATGAGTGCCTTGGGGGCAGGAGCAGCTGCTGGTTCCCATCAGCAACCCATGCTGGATTTCTCTGTATCTGAAAGCGAAAACAGAATAATGCTCGACAAGAAATGGCAACAGGACTTACAAACTATTACAGTTGACCATTGAACAACATCATGAGTCAGTTTATAGGAGGACTTTTTTCACTAAATAGATACTATGGTCCTACACAATCCGAGGTTGGTTGAATCTGCAGTTGCCAAACCACAGACAGGGAGGGTGGACTGTAAAGTTACATTTGGATTTTTGATTGTGCAGAGGGTTGGTGCCCCTAACCCCTGCATTGTTCAAGGGTGAAGTGTATTATTGCTTATACTAGTTCATTCAAGTAGTAAACACCCCAGACGTATTGGGGGGCCAGGGGCAGGCCCCCCCAGTCAACAAGCCCAGCTGAATCCGTTCTTCACCGTCCGGCCAGGCCCTGCAAATGTGAGCGATGGAACTGTATTAACGTCCCAGGGCTGTTGTAACAAATTACCAGCAAACTGGGTGGTTTAACACAACAACTTGCTGGGCTCACCACAGGGGCATCTTCCCCTTCTACTATCTGGGCTGTCCTTTTCACTTTGAAGAAGGCATTAATGATGATGAGGAGGAGGAAATGGAGGTGCAGACCCTCCATCAACAGGCCCAGCGAATCCACTGGTCACCATCCTGCCAGGCCCTGCAAATGTGAGCAATGAAACTGTATTAATGTCCCACGGCTGTTGTAATAAATTACCACAGATTTGGCGACTTAAAACGAAATGAATTAATTCTCTCGTAGTCCTGGAGGTCAGAAGCCCAAAATCAAGGTGCCGTTAGGGCTGTGCTCTCTCAAGGCTGTCGGGAAGAAGCCTTCTGTATTAGCTTGAGCTGCTGTAACAAGGTATCACAGACTGAGTGGCTGATCATCACAGATCACCTCTCACAGCTCTGGAGGCTAGAAGTCCAAGACCAAGGTGCCAGCGTGGTCCGGTTGCGGCGAGGGCTCTCCCCTCGGGCTGCAGGCAGCCACCTTCTTGCTGTCCTCACGTGGCCTCTTCTCTGTGTATGTGAGGGGAGAGACGGAGCAACTCTCTGGTGTCTCTTCTTATAAAGACACTAATCAGATCCAATCAGGACCCCATCCTTAGAACCTCATTTAACCTTAATTATTTCCTTAGAGGCCTCATCCCTAGTATAGCCTCCTTGGGGGTTAGGGCTTCCACATGTGAATTTGGGGGCACACACTCAGTCCATAATACATTTCCTACCTCTCTCCTAGCTTCCAGTGCCTCCTGGTGATCCCTGACTTGTAGGTATGTCACTCCAGTGACATACCTGCCTCCAACTTCACATGGCCATCTTCCCTCTGTGTTTGTGTCCAAATCTCCTGATCTTACAAGGACACCAGTCATTGGACTAGTCCCCCCCGCCCAAAACCAGTATGACCTGATCTGAACTTGTTTATACTGCAAAAACCCTATTTCCAAATAAGGTCATGGTCACAGGCTTGGGGTTATGACTTGAAAATATCTTTTTGGAGGACATAATTTGACCCACGATGGAAAATTTCCTAGAAGGGATGTTCCAGACCCAGTTTTTTGGTCCCCAGCTGTGTGAGTCGCCTCAGCTCCTGGGGTCCTCCTGGCCAAGGCTCCCAGACATCGTGGAGCAGAGACCAGCCAGCCCTGCTGTGCTGTCTGAACTCCTGATCCACAGAATCCATGAACATTACAGAAGTGTCATTACGGTCTGTGCCATTCAATTTTGGGGTAGTTTGCAGCACAGCAGTAGATGATCAGAATCAGGGGGAAGGAAAGCTGCTCTTCTCTGCAGAGCTTTGCAGGTTAGGGGGAGAGGCCTCCCCCCATATTCCTGAGCCTCAGTTACATACAGGCTGCTCTGCTGGCACCTCCACTGTTAGCTTCTTCCTTCATCCACACAACCACCCCTGAGGCTCAGACAGGAGAAGCGCTTTGCTCAAAGTGACCCAGCTACTGAGGGGCAGAGCTGGGATTTAGACTCAGGTCTCTGAAACGCCCCCATGAGTCTGTTGGATGGAGCCTTAGAGTGATACAAGCTCTTTCTAGCATCCCAGGCACGTCTTTTCCTTTGAGAGCCTCCTGCTGGGCCTGGCTGTGCCGGAGTGTTCATACCCCCCCGCCGCCTGGGCTACTGACAAATCACATATGCAGCAGAGGAAAGTGGATGGGCTGCCAGATGTGTGATAAGAAACCAGCCTGCAGGAAATTGCCATCAGCTGATCATTACTAGCCCAGGTATTCAGAGCAGCCACGCTTCCAAAGGTCACGCATTTACCAAACGCTTGATGTGTTTTCCCGATCAGCCCCAGAAGATTTTGTCCTCCTGGTGAGAGCTCTTCCCCTGGGACTGCTGAAAGCTGGTGATTGTAATGCTGCCCTCTGCTGCGCCCCAGCTTCTAACAGCAGCTGCTACAAATGCTCAGTGATCGCCTCTCTGACTCCTGGCTCTGTGTGGAGAAGCCCCTAGCTGAACGTCGTGTGGGATGGAGCTAGGTTCACATCCCTGCCCGGCCACGGAGTAATCATATCCACTCATTTGATGCATGATTGTGGAGAGCCTTTCACGTGCTAGGTCCTCGGGCAAGTGACTTCTTTGGAGCTTAATTTTCTACTTTCTCAAGTACTGATTGTAATACCTACCTTGAGGTGTTGTTGTCAGAGATAGAATATGGCAAGTTCCAGGCACCACCTGCCTGCACTTCTTGAAGTGATCTGACAGAATCTCTTGCATTTTAACGAACCCATCAATTTCACTCATTTTATCAAGTCATGTTGTTAGATTGAAAAAAAAAGCAAGTATCATATGATACCACTTGTATGTGGAGAGAGACAAATATCATAGCACTTATATGTGGAATCTAAAAAATTGACACAAATGAACTTATTTACAAAACAGAAAGAGACTCACAGACATTAATAGCAAACTTATGGTTACCAAAGGGGAAGCAAGGGGTGGGAGGTGGGGATAAATTGGGAGTTTGGGATTAGCAGATACTAACTACTATATACAGAATAGATAAACAACACGGTCCTACTGTATAGCACAGGGAACTATATTCAACACCTTGTAA